TGCTGCTCCTGCTCGCCGGGGTTCTGTGCCACCGTTTCCACGGCCTGTGGTACATGAAAATGATGTGGGCCTGGCTCCAGGCCAAAAGGAAGCCCAAGCGAGCCCCCCAGAGGGACCTCTGTTATGACGCCTTTGTGTCTTACAGTGAGCAGGATTCCCACTGGGTGGAGAACCTGATGGTCCAGGAGCTGGAGCACTTCAACCCTCCCTTTAAGCTCTGTCTTCATAAGCGGGACTTTGTTCCTGGCAAATGGATTATTGACAACATCATTGACTCCATCGAAAAGAGCCACAAAACCATCTTCGTGCTTTCCGAGAACTTTGTGAAGAGCGAGTGGTGCAAGTACGAACTGGACTTCTCCCATTTTCGCCTCTTCGATGAGAACAACGATGCCGCCATTCTCGTTCTGCTGGAGCCCCTGGAGAAGAAGGCCATTCCGCAGCGTTTCTGTAAGCTGCGCAAGATCATGAACACCAAGACCTACCTGGAGTGGCCCAGCGATGAAACCCAGCAGGCGGGGTTCTGGTTAAACTTGAGAACTGCAATAAAGTCCTAAGATCCTTCACTGAAGGCCAGTCTTGGACTGGTGGTGGTCTTTATTTTATTTTTTAAAATGTATTTTTATTGATTTAAGAGAGGAAGGGAGAGGGAGAGATAGAAACATCAATGATGAGAGAAAATCATTGATCGGCTGCCTCCTGCACGCTCCCCCTCACCCCCCGCACTGGGGATGGAGCCCGCAACCCCGGTATGTGCCCTGACTGGGAATTGAACTTTGACCTCCTGGTTCATAGGTCAACAATCAACCACTGAGCCACGCTGGCCAGGCTGGTAGTGATCTTTATATCACTAGCTGTAACTGAGTCCATTCTGACACAAGTATATATAAACTACATGAGGATTTGCTTACGAAGCTGTTCCAAGTTTTATCTGGAGTGCTGTTTTATAAAAACGACTTAGCAGATTGAAAAAAAAAAGGGATTTGGTTTTTCTTTATCCTGGCAGGGAATCAGGATCTAAGTCCATTATTGTTTTCTGAATTATCTGTAGCAAATGGTTTAGTTCATTAGGAAATTGCACAGATGAACAGAAGATTTCAAATGACTGTAGTCGGCCCTGCTAGCCGGCTCATCCGTGCCTACAGAGGTGTTGGCCATCCCACTCAGCTGTCTCCTCTTTGTGTGACTGCTCTCCTGGTCAAAAAGGCAAAACGTTAGGGTCACCCAGCCTCAATATTGCTTTTCCTAGAAAAAAAGTGTTGTGTGTTCCCATCAGACTTTACAGGATACAAATTACCTAAAAAAGCGTGTGTTTCCATGTTAATTGGGTCTGTCTGTCTGTCTGTCTGGGTAGTTGATAGGTTTCTTTAGCCATAGTTACTTGAGTGAGGAGGGTACACAACACAAGATACAGTAAATTACGTTTTTCACTGAAAATCACACTAATAAAGTAAATAAAATACTCAGTTTAGAAGGACGTGAAAGAGGCTTTTGCCCATATCCTGACTCCTCCTCCTCCAGCCTCTAACCGTAGGCGCAGTTCTAGTTTGTCTCGAGGGACCCTGGCTCTCAGCCCGGCTTCTGGCTGTCTCCCTGGCATCGTGCTGCTTTGTGCTTCTCTGAAAGGTCTTGTTTCTGATCCTAAAAAGGCCTTCCTTTTTTTTTTCTTCTGAAAATTTATAATAATACCTGTGAGCTAAATATATTTTTTAACAAGTATAAACCTCTAGGTTCCTCATAATGAGAAAAAATATTTGGCACACAATTATTTTGAAAGATAGATAATATTTCCCTGTGTGACTTTTTATAACGTAGATTTAATAACACATTAAATTTAATGCAATTCATGCTATTTACTGATTTGGTACAACTACCTTCTTATGTCTTCCGAAGTGAACTTCCTTTGATCCCCTCTCAGTTCTCAGCAGGATCTGGGTTTGTGTGGTTTATTGGGCTCTGGAGTCAGAAAGTCCTGGGTTAGTATGTACGTATCTTTGGGCAAGTTACTTAACTTGACCCAAAGTATTTTCCCTTCGAGTAGGGATAATAATATCGAGATCATAGGGCCTGATGTAGATATTAATGTACGGTAATGTTCACTAAGTCACTGTTCCCTCTGGAGGGGTGAGGAGGGCCAGAGGACCAAGCCATGAGAATGAGAACCATGAGGTGGTTGCATGGGGTGGCAGGGATGCCTGGAGTAGATGTTGGGTGTTACTTTCCAAAAAGTAATTCATCTCCTTATGTATTATGATTGACAAATGGGTATTTTTCTGTTAAGGGTGCTAGCAGGAATATAAGAGATCCTGTGGTTCACAGAAAAATATCCCAAAGAAGTAAGTTCATTAAGTGTATAACAGGCTATAGCCCCTGGGACAGTCACATAATACTTCTCTCTCTCATACAAACTCCCAGGAGAGTGTTATGGAGGAAACAGTGGTCAGCCTAAGAAAAACATGGAAAAGTTCAGGAGAAGGAAACTTGAGGAGGTGCTGCAGAAACCAAACACAGTAATGGACTTTTTGCTTTGCTTCTCTATTTCCTACATTAAACACAATGTTAATTATCATGAGATACATTTAACATGGACTTGATCTGTTAGATTGAATTGCAATAATTTGCACAGCAATAGAAAAATAGCTTAATACTTAATTGATAGATTTAAAGGAATATTTTAAAAAGAATATTTTTCTGATTGTGAATGTTAAACAAGTTCACTATAGAAATTTTGGAAAAGAGATAAAATTATATAAAAGAAAATAAGAATCAGCTCTTATCCTTTTACCTTCAGATAACCACAGATAACTATAGTGTATAGGTCTGTACTAGCTATACTAATAAAAGGGTAATATGCTCATTAGACTGGGTTGACCTGACATCTTCTGGACATCCGACTTCCGTCCAGACAAAGCCACGGTAGCAGGGGCCGAGGCAGACGCAGTTAGGGGCGATCAGGCCAGCAGGGGAGCAAGCAGTTAGGGGCGATAAGGCTGGCAGGGGAGCAAGCAGTTGGGGTGATAAGGCCAGGCCGGCAGGGGAGCAAGCAGTTAGGGGCAATCAGGCCAGCAGGGGAGGGCAGTTGGGGGCAATCAGGCCAGGAGGGGAGAGCAATTGGGGACATTCATGCCGGCAAGGGAGCAGTTAGGGGCGATTAAGCAGGCAGGCAAAGTTCTTATATTATTAATTAATTATGGTATTATTTTCTATATATATGCATATATAACTTCACAAAATTGGAATTCAATTATAAATACTTAAACTGCATAAAAAATAGCACTTTATTTTTTTCCTGAGATTGTTTAGCTATTATCTAACATATTTCTGAACTCTGAGAGTCATTCAGAATTCCAAGCAAATTCATACTGGCTTACCTGCTCAGTGTTCTAAATTGTTCTAAAAGCTACCCTTATGTACCCATCCACTGAAGATAAGTGGCAAATACATCAGAGGTCAATTTATTTTATTTATATTTAAAAATATATTTTTATTGATTTCAGAGAGAAAGGGAGAGGGAGAAAGAGATAGAAACATCAATGAGAGAGAATCATTGATAGGCTGCCTCCTCCATGCCCCCTACTGGGGATCGAGCCCGCAACCCAGGCATGTTGACTGGAATCAAGGCTGGGACATTTCAGTCCACAGCCTGATGCTCTATTTGCTGAGCCAAACTAGCTAGGGCCAGAGGTCAATTTAAGGCTCCTTTTCCAGAAGAAAAACTAATTTTTAGTTAGTGTTTTATCCAATTATGAGCTCTTTTATTTGTCTATAAAATCAAGAATCTTGTTTTATCTCCTTAACCGTTGAACATTCCTGGTATGTAGTAAGTATTGAATTGCCGAAATGTTTGCCGAGTAGAGAAATAAAGCAGAGTTAAATCTTCTAGTAATCTGGATGCTGAACCAATCATAACACTGAAGCACTGGGCAATTTTTCTAAGGCCAATTACCAACAGGTAGAAATCCTAGTGTGCTTCTTTGTTAAAACTATGATGGAATTTTGCATAGCATTAAGTACATTGCCAATATTTTTGACAGTGGGTGTGTTTTTTTCTACTTCTTATGAATGTATTACCTTTAAATATTACAGAGTAGATGTCTGGTGTTACATATACAGTGTTGGCTGTTTAACAAATGACCAGTAATTTAAAATGAATTAATTTTGGGGAGTCTGACATATCATTCATGGGTTAATTATTTCGACTGGTCTTTGCTATTCTGTTAATTTTGTTCTCTCCTGCAAATGGATTATTTTATAGAGGCACTGCTCCAAGTGCTGGAGATACAGTAGGGAAAAAACAAACAGATGAAATTCTCTGCCTTCATGGAGGGAAAGACAAACAATAAACAAATCTATGATATGTTTGCAGGTACGGATAATTACTATGAAGAAAATAGAGGCAGAGTATGGCAACAGAGTGACTTGTGTGTGTGTGTGTGTGTGTGTGTGTGTGTGTACACAGAGTTGCACAAAAGATTGAGGGTGATTCTCTCCACTTCAGCGCAGCCCCTGGGTGGGCTGCGTGCATTTGGCAGACTCAGGAAACCTGGCATAGCTCTGGCCCACTGCGTGGGCTGTGGCACCTAGTGTAGAGGTTTCAGGAGTAATTGTCTCTATGGGAGGGTTCAGTGGTGCCAAAGTGGCCAAGTGGTCACAAGCACGAAGAGTAGAAAAGGCCTTATCCTTCCACCGCAGATTGCTTCACAACTCTGCCGGCTTCTCTGGAGATGCTGAATTGAGCAGAGGTGTTAGTTGTCACTGAATGGTCTGTGTGAGAAGTGCTTTGCAAACCTCTGAAACACTCAGCAGATGAGATCATTACCAGCCAAATCAGAGGAGGGATGTCCTGGGGGTGTTTGTAATACACGCGTCACGTGTAGTGAGAAGTGCTTTGCAAACCTCTGAAACACTCAACAGATGAGATCATTACCAGCCAAATCGGAGGAGGGATGTCCTTGGGGGTGTTTGTAATACACGCGTCACATGTGCACTGAATGGTCTGTGTGAGAAGTGCTTTGCAAACCTCTGAAACACTCAGCAGATGAGATCATTACCAGCCAAATCAGAGGAGGGATGTCCTGGGGGTGTTTGTAATACACGCGTCACGTGTATGGATCAGAAGACAATCGTAATGGGAAAGATGCAGAGTGTACTTCGTTGGTTTATTTCGTTGCTCAGTTCTTTAAATTCTGTCCACATAGACAGATTGCCTTAGGTAGACCACCAAGTTTTATTCAGTTCTCTAAACTCTCGGAATCATCTCTAAAATTAAAAAATGAATATCAGTAGTAAATGTAGAATCAAGGACTTGAAACATTTCAACATGCAACACCTTGCTTCCTGTATCATTCCAGCCCTAGTGAGTAGTTAATGCCTTGAACTATTCCTATCACCATGGGTTGCCAGGCAACCAAATAACGAAGCCAATCCAGGATTTGTCCATATAAAATGTGTGTGCGCTCCCAGCTAAATCTCAGTTAAGGAGGTTGCTCTGTATATGGCCAAATAGCAGAAATATTTATAAGTATCATTTGCAAACATAAGCAATAGCATGAGTGGACATTTCCTTTCATAGTTCTATGTGCTCATTTAAAAACTCCATACATGATTTTTATAGCATTGATTATCATAATTATTCCTAATACACCTAATCTCTAGTAATAAAAGTTGATGCCACAATCCCAACTACAAAACAAGAATAAAAGGCAAGGGCCAAATACTGAAAGAAAGAGGAAGGGGGGATGACAGCATAGGAAGCCGAGGGTAAGGGGAGCTGCTATAACTGAGCGAAACAGCTCTGGGCTTTAGTAGGCAGCTCGTCAGAGGAGATTCATTGTATATTAAAAAGGGGAACTTGTGTTCATACATAAGATACACCTTTTCCTGATATCTTTGATAAATTGTTCTGAGGGGACTTAATACATCATATCTCTGAGAGCAATGTTACTCGCATGAAGGCAGGTTTTTTCACATGTAGCTTTTTCTTCTATTTAATCTCAGTAAAAAGGGCACCCACAATATTCAAGTTTATTCTCAGAAGACTATAGAAAGAAACCAATTCTTCCTCATTATCTCAATGATCATTTAAGGTGACATTTATGATCACATTGTGACCAATTTTAAAACAAAGGTTTATGTACTGTGGTTTTACAAGTTATTCACCCCAAACGGTCTGGGCTTGGTCTCCTCACAGGAGAATTGGAAATTCAGGGAGAGCGGCTGAGAAGGAAGGAGGAAGGGGTATCACACACCTTTAGCTTTGGTTGTGCTTGAGTTGCACGGACTCACCGAGAAAGGCCCGGCCTGTGGATGCAGCTGGTGGCTGTTGCTATAGTGAGGCTCTAAGGACTCAAAGACCCATCAGTGCTGCCTCCCCTGCTGCCCTACATGAGAGTCTTTCTTGGATTTTCAAACCTCAGAGATTGGGGGAGGGGGTTTGCTGCCAGCAGTCGTTGTTAAAAGTGCATTTAGGGTTGGTGAGAGGCAGGGAACGGCGGTATCTGCGTTAGCACTGTGCCATTTAGGGGACTGAGACTCAGAAAGTATAGAAAGGCTCTCTCTTCTGAGAAGAGAGGGTATTTGGCAGTAGGATTTACCAACCTCTCAATGCCTCCTGCCTAAACGGGACATGTTTTAATCCTGTCACCCCTGGAAGAGATACGTGTATTATGGCCTGGGACCGCGGGCTGAGGACTGAGTGTTTGCAGTCAGCTCTGGATGGGGCCATTACCTGCCTGTGCCTTAATGAGATTTGGGTTCATTTAGATGGGGATCCTGGTGTCTCTAAAAATCCTAGTTGCTGCCATAAACCGACAAAGCCAGTAAGTCTTCATTTCCTTTCAATATTATTATACTAGGGTTTAGCCTAAGAAAAAATGAGGGCATAGCAAGGAATTTAAAAACCTGGGTTGTGACCTGGGGGAGTTACCTCACCTCTGGGAGCCTGTTGTGTTGTCTGTAAGAGAGGGATCGCGATTTCCACCTTTCTGGGGCACTGGGCAACGCTCTCCGTTCACAAACTGGCCTCGACGTGGATGTGCAGGGAAGATCTCCGAGCTCGGGGCTGCCTGCAAGGCTGTTGTCATGGGGTCACTGGCCCTGGATGGGTTATTGTCGGAGGTGGGGGGAAAGCCCTACTTAGTTCTGGAAATAATAAAATTTGGTACACCTTAATAGTAATTTTCTATACCCTAGTTCACATTTGGGGCCTCTCTCTCTCTCTCTCTCTCTCTCTCTCTCACACACACACACACACACACCTTTCCATATATTTACCTATCTTTTGCAATGTCCCATCACATTTCCGCTAAAGCCCTTATGCCGGAACATATGGAATATAAAGAGCAGAGTATGTCTCTTTTGGCACTTCAGTTCCTAACCAGAATAGTAGCAGACACAGGGGAGAAAAGACACCAATAAGTGGTTTTGATGAGGTAGGTGTTTTGGGAAAACAGAGAGTTTTCTGTTGTGACTACAATGAAGATAATGAAAGTTTAGACCAGTGATGGCGAACCTATGACACGCGTGTCAGAGGTGACACGCGAACTCATTTTTTTGGTTGATTTTTCTTTGTTAAATGGCATTTAAATATGTAAAATAAATATCAAAAATATAAGTCGTTGTTTTACTATGGTTGCAAATATCAAAAATTCTATATGTGACACGGCACCAGAGTTAAGTTAGGGTTTTTCAAAATGCTGACACGCCGAGCTCAAAAGGTTCGCTATCACTGGTTTAGATGGAGGAATGCATCGCCAGAAACATTTAAGATAACATTTCATAACTTATGTTTTAAAAGGATACGGGTTACTGATCATCCTCTTCAAATCAACCTTCTCTTTGCAGTAAGGGCAGGTCTGCTTTTTACCAACAATACACCAACCTCGGATGCAGAATTCATGAAAGCTTGGGCATCTTGTTAGGGAAGCTTCTAGAAGTGAAAGGCAAGGTTTGCTTTGTGAGGACATGCTGGGAATAATTCCATCGGTAGGGTGGAGGAGTGGAGGGGGAGAGAATGGCTGTCAGCCATGGCCTGATTGTGCGTGTCACTTTTTGAGGGCGGTCCTGCAGGACAGTGGGTCCCCCAGGACTGAGCTTGGAGTCAGAGCTGCAGTAGCTTTATGGCCTTGAGAGTTACCAAGCTTCTTGGCCTCACTGTATCCTCACAAGAATTAAATGAGATTAAGAATGTGAAAGTGCTTCTCTATGGTAATATCTTATGTAAATGCATCCTTTTATCTCTCTGCCCAGCTTACTGTGCCTTTCTCATGCATTTCCCATAGCATCCCACTATTATACTCTTGTGCATTACTCACTACCTCTATGTGATCAGACTTGTCTTAGGCACTTAGATGGGTTTAAGTTATGTGGTCATAAACTTATAATCTTTCTATTAGTTTCTTTTCTTTTTTATTACTGATAAGGAGCTGGTTGCTTTTAATAAAATATAAATCTAGGCATTTATTTGTATACATCCCCCTATCTAGAAAGTCTGGCCCTTGGCCTCCAAAGTTGAGAGCGAACCCTATGCTTCCCACAGCACTGTGTGTCACACTGTATCATGACTGTCTGTTTCCATGTCTCTTCTGGGCCATAGGCCACATCTCCTCCTGCTGATTCATTTATTTCTACGGTCATTGACCTTAAGGTGGCTTTCTAGATCAAGATCTCATGATTCACTGCCTGGCCTTCCACACATCCATATGACAGCAATGATAGAGAAGGCCCTGCCCTGACAAATGGAGGGTCGTGGGGGTGTAGACAATCAAGGCCGTGCGAATAACTCCTCAATATTAGATCTGTGTGCAACTAAGAGTTTCCACTATTTTATATTCTTGGGATGGGGGTCACGTTTGCAACATGCTTGGGTGAAGATAAAGTGGTGTATTATATAACAAAGATTTGAAGCAAAACCCATTTGGCCCTTTATTTGAAAGGGCTGGAGCCAACATTGAAAAGTCCACCTCCTCTTTAATATCCTCTTTCATCTGCAGAATCTCCACGCTTCTTTGCTCCAGAGCAAGACCCAGATCTCTGCCCCTGCCTTGTTAGTAGGACTCATGTTTGCCTGCTTCTGGCTAATATGACTCATGCTAAAATGGGTCATTAATAACACTCCCTGCAAAGCAAATTTAAAGATAACTGCATTTTGGGTTACATGTGCACACATGTACAATGATTCCCAAGGGCTTTTAAAGGTGGAGAGAGAAAATATTTCCACTTGCAAAAGGCAGCAGGGGCTCTGTTCCAACATTCGAAAAGTAAGGCATATTTAAAACTAGAGCCAGACTTGGAAAATTTCTATTAAAAATGATAGTTTTTTGGGAACGGTATCCCACTGAAAAACCAACATCGAAATCCATACGGGATATCTTTGTTTCTTACCTTAACATGTTAAGGCTTAACGTTGAAGCAAAGGTTCCTATTACATTTCAAATGCATCTGATCCAGTGTTTTACTCTCAGGATTGTATAAGTGTACTCTCTCCGGATTAAAGAGAATTGAGTCATAAGCGCTGCACATCTAGGGTCTTACTGACTGAGTAGGTGGGCTTTGCAGGCAAGAGGCAGATGGTTTAACCACCTCATAATGCCAGAGCTTTGAACTGAGTGTATCGTGGTATTGTAAAATTGATGTTACACTATCAAGTAAAGTATTATGTACTTAGATATGAGTTAAAATACTGGTTGTTGGCCAGCCCAAGCACAACTTTGCTATCCAGAGACACCTGCTTAGGCAGCACAGGCTGCCTCACTCAGGGCTCTGGTTCTCGGCCGTCTTTCCACATATTGAGGTTCTCTTCAGTAGTTGCTGGAGTTCCCAGAGAATGCTGGTCTCCAGGCCCAGGCTTGACTGGTCCCTAACATCCAAGACCCTTCAGCCAGTAGATGGCTGTTCGGGGCAGAACACATAGGTAGAGGAGCCAAATGGTCCAGGAACTAGGTGCTAACATTTTGGTTCCTCCTTTTGTAACCTACAGGGTCCTGCTGTCTGTGGCATTATCCTCTTTGCAGGACCAAAGCTTATATTTGCCTGCGCCCATTACCACCGGTGACACAAGCAGTTTCCTAGGATGACAAAGCAAAACACACCGTGTCGTTCTTGGTCCTGTGAGATTCAGACACATAGTCCCGAGTTCCTACCTGCACCTAAAACTTCCCTCACCCCTTAACCCCCTTCTTTCCCTGGTCCTTCTTGGCTCTCTGTTCACTATGGCTTCACCAATGGTCCAGCCAGCATCCTATACAGATGCTGAGCCTTCCTGTCCCTGTGGCACTAAGATTCCTTTTTAAAAAGGAACTTACTGGAGCAGAAGGTTCCCCTTAAATTAGCAGTTCATTATTCAGCAGGGATGATCAGAAAGTCTCAAGAAGAAAGATGGGCAGAAGGATAAAGGCCTGGGAACTAAGCAAAGCACGGGAGATGGGGATAGGAGGAGGAGAGGAAGGAGGGTAGGTGAGGAGACAGTCTTACCTGACTTGCCATCTCCTTTACCCAACACAGATTATTTGAAATTTGCCTCCCAGTATTGCTTCACGAAGACCAAATGGTTTCCCATGCAAAGGATACACGTGATTGCAGGAAAGCTGGTAAGTGTTTTCAATGAGCCCTTCTTCATCGAGCTCCACAATGATTTTTTGTCCACAGATGGCACAGATGCTGTCTGACAAGCTCCTTGTGGGCATCCCACTGTCGCTGTAGAACTGTTGGGAGAAATGCACAGAGCGTTGTTGAACAGGAGAGCACAGACCATTCTCTGAACACAGGGAAGACCTGCCCGGCTTTGGGACAGGGCGTCTTTACTGCTTCCTCATTGGTTTAGAACTTGAAACACTTTTTCCCATGGGAACGATGCTAGTCGGTGTGAGATTTCCAGGCAAAATCTCACGGAACCCCAAATAGACCCCAAGTACATTGCTAAGTATAATCTCCACTCTAATCTTCCGACAGAGGAATCCTTCAAGAGGAACAGTTTCTATTCAGGGATGTAGCTCAGAATCACACAGGAAGCTTTTAAGCTCACAACTCTGGAGTAAATCCAGGCATCTCTATTCTTTTTAATCCTCATGTAATTGTAGTGCCTGTGAACACACACACAGAGACACACACAGAGACACACCACCAATTCAAGTCACTGGGGGCCATCCCAATGGCTTGAGGCAGTGCGTTTATGTATTTGGTGACCTGAAGTGAAGATGACAGAGGATGGGTGTGATCAGGTGAGAAGTCTCCAGAAAGTTGGTGCTTCAAGACTTGTTGACTTGCTAGGTTAAATCTCTTCTTCCTGATCCACTGGACAAGAGGGGCAGACAACTCTTCTTTTCCTCTCTTGCCCATCAGCAAGCACAAGAGGCCCTGAGTATTTTTAAAGGGGTATGGTTTCTGGTTTTTGTTGGAGGAACTGGGAGTGAAAATGCTTCCTCCTTTGTTGACTTTAAACCTTATAAGAAAGGCAGTTGGCCCACAGATGACACATGGCAGAGGAATCCCAAAAGGTAATCTTGTTCCATCATTTCACCACAGAAGTTGGATTCCAAGCTCAAGGAAAAGGGTAAGATAGAGCCTACGGAGATGGGTGGAAAGGAAATCAAGATAACGTTCCCTTAGTCCTGCCCCATAAATGGGGAGAGAGAACAGTTTAGAAGTTCATCCTTGCCCTCACACTAGATTTTCCACTTCAGATCTGGCCGTGTACCAAGAGACATGGCTGAGAATTCCTGAAACCACTGGGTCAGCCCTGCAGGCTTTGGTTTATGTTTAAGAGATGTGCATGTGTCAGGCACAGATAAATGCTCCTACTATCTGACTCTGAAATCCATCCAACCAGCAAGTATGTTCATTCTGAGTTTTATTTTTAAGAGAGTTAAACTATTAGGGATTTTTTAAGAATTCCAGGGAACAATATATAGTCAGAATTACATTTAACACACTTTTTATATTGTTTACTTCTTCAAATGCTATACAATAACAACTGATCTTTATGATGAGTATTACCCCGAGGCACTGGTTGATTCTAAAGTGTTGCATCAGATATGACTTTTATTTGTAGTAGGCAGAAATAATGGGTTTTCGGTATTGTTGAATTTTTAATCTTTTAAATGATGGCAATTGGAGTATGTTAGATATGGTTACTTCCAAATAATTGGTGTATTTTAAAAGATGCCTTATTTCCTAACCACTTCATATCGATGGGAAATGTATTTTCTAATTAATTAGCAGAGACAATTTTGGTGCAAGGAGAATCCAAGGAGCAATCGGGCTGAGAGAACCAAGAAAGATTTATTGATTTCTGAAAATGGATGCAAATATGGTGTCAGATGAGACCGTTTCTCCATGTACCCTAAGTGGTTACAAATCCTAAAAGCAACACTTACCCCGATAGTAGAAGCCATGTAATCCGAGCAGATCTCTGCAAAGTCTCTCCCCATTATGCCATAGTAGAGGCCATAAAACAGAGACACAATGCCAAAATCCATGGCATCTCTAGCCTTGATTCTATTGAAAACAACAGGACAAGAAAATAAGAATGTGGCATTTGGAGGGCAGTGGGAGTGCTGCAGCTAGGAGAATATTTCCTGCCACAGTATCTAATAGAAACTTGGGGGTATTTTTTTTTCACTGATTGGTGTAGTTTGCCTTTTTGTTAATGAAAAAATTTTAAATTCTCTAAATTTCCCTAAAGTTTTACCACTCAGTGCTAAGTGGAGAAAGTAATTCTTGAGAGTCTTTAAATGTTTCTTAAGATCGCAGTCCTTAGACATGCTGATTCTAACCAATGGTTCTCAAGCTGGGCCGAGCATGTAAGAACCTGGGCAGCAATTACATCACACTTTCTGGGGATGAGGCCTGTGCAGCAATATTTTTGGAAGCTCTCTGGACCCCAGGCATCCCACTGAGCAGGTAACATTCCAAACCTCTTTAACAGAGCAATAGTTTTCAGCCCTAAATATAGATTAGGATCACCTGGGGAGATTTAAAACTAGACTGATATGTCAGCCCTCTTAAAGGGTTCTAATTTAAGTGGCCTTGGGTGGGGTCTGCACAGAAATGCTTTATAGGAGCTACATAGATAACAACTATAACACAGCTAGGGTTGAGAATCCCTGCTTTAGATCTCAGACTTTACAGAATGCTTTCAAATACTTGATCTGACCTGAAAATATTTGAGAGAGAGTCAAGGATCAACCTCAAGTTCTGAGGCCTTTTGCAACTATGCCATAGTTGTCAGGTATTAGTCAAAAAATTTTTTGCAAGTTGGATTATATTTCAAATACAATAGGATTCTCTATTAGAACCCCCTTTCTTTTTAAAGAGAAAGATATATTTTTTTTTAAAAAAGTAAAAAATTAGTCTCTAATTTAATATCTAAATCTTAATCATTGCATATTTGTTTTGTTATATCTATCAACAGTCTCAATATTAGCAGTGGGCCTGGGTGGGTCTGATGGAATCGGGAAGGCAGTGGAGAGGAGTTGAGCAGTCTGTCTCAGGAACCTTCTGGGTGTTTTTGGCTCTGTTAATCTGAGATGGAAATGTAGAGTTCGTTGACTATCACAGATCTTTGGTGATGTGACTTGGGAATTCCAACACAGGTGACAGCTTCATCCTTTTAAGATTTGCCTGGGTATGTATGTATATATATCCTATCTAATAAAGAGGGAATATGCTAATCTACTGCCCTGCCCTAAAAGATGGCAGTGCACACAGCCAATAAGGAGGGAATCTGCTAGCCGAAACTGGTTTGGCTCAGTGGCTAGAGCGTCGGACTGCGGACTGAAAGGTCCCAGGTTATATTCCGGTTAAGAGCATGTACCAGGGCTGCGGGCACATCCCCAGTGGGAGATGTGCAGGAGGCAGCTGGTCGATGTTTCTCTCTCCTC